GCATTCTTTGGTGAAGCCTAACTTAGGTATTCCCCTTATTAACTCTTAGTGTGTGATTTTTTTAGGAGTCTATCATTCTAGTGTGACAATGTCTCCTATACTACTGCAAAGACTCATCTAAGATTGTTTTCAAACAGCACACTTCACTAGTTTTATCAAGGTAATCTTGGTCAATCATATAAATATTATTTACTCTAAGCCCTTTTAAATTAGTTTTATCATTTAACAATAACAATCACTTGTCATGTTAAAATTTAACATCAAATTTTTTGTCATATAGTTGATTAATGTTAAGTAGATTATGGTTCAATTCTTCTATCAATAGTACTTTTTCAGTTGTAAACTATTTATTTTACCTACTGTATCTATACCATTGACATTTATGGTGGTGTTGTTCCCAAAGGTCACTCTCCCCTCGCATCTTGATTCCAACAAGATGAATTTGTTAACTTCTACAGTCATGCGTTGAAAATACTCACTATCCAAATACCACATGCCTTCACACTAGACCTCTTATGAAGGCACATCTATAAAATATACTAAGCTATAAATTTTGGATGTTGGATGACTATGGCACCCCAAGAGGGGGGTGAATTAGGACTTTTTAAATTTTTATTAAAAGAAGAAAATTAAAGTGATTTTAAAACTATTTTGAAAAGAATAAGAAATCACATAATTTTTTATGAAAAAGATAAAAAAAATAGATACAAGAAATGAAAGTAAGAGGCACAATATTTTTACGTGGTTCGGCCCGGATTCCAAACCGACCTACGTCTACGCTAGCTAACTCTCGGGCTGGAATTCACTAATCTCAAGTTTGCTTTGCAAACCTCACTTCTTTAAATCGAAGAAGATTTTTACAACCTAAGTACTCCCCTAAAAGGGCGAGCACAACCCAATCTAATTACAATTAAGATTTTACTAAGTCAAATGGCTTAGATCAAGAAAATGAAAAATATGATTTGATGTAAATAATACAAGCTCAAATTATCTTGCAATAAAATATCCACAATATTTGAGGTGATCTTACAAATTAATTTTAATCACCTTACTACTTGTAAATAAAATATTAAATTTGTTCACTTTAAGATAGATTTATATTTTGTTTAAAATAAGAATAATATTTTAAATAAAAACATATTCTTGCATATTTAAACCTTATCTCTTCAAATCAAATAAAATGAATTAGATTATAGGTGTAAATCTATGCCATCTTAAGGAAAATAAAAATACTTGCTTTGCTAAACTTTATGGATTTAAAAGGTATAATATATAAAACTTTAATATAAAATTTGTAACAAGTATTTCACCAAAAAAAAAAAAATTTAAAGAAAGAACTATATGGTGAAAGCTAAAAGAACAACAAGAAAAGATTTAGTGAATGCAAACTCAAGAACTCTAAGAGATATTACTCGGTTTTGTGTGTTGAAGCTTTCCAACCAAGAATTCGATCTCGCAAATGAAAAGAGCTCTTGGAATAAAAATAAAAGTTTATCCTCTCAAGATTTAGCATGTAAAGAGGAAAGAAAGAATGAAAGTATTGTTGAGGATTTTCTTTTTGAGCAGTCCTTACATGAAAAAAAGAGAGATATTTAAAGGAAAATGGTAAATAAATTTAAATTTGAATTAAACTATTAAACTAATATTAATTTTTCAACTAATAATATTATATTTGATAAATTTTTTTTTTATATTAAAAAGTTTTACCATATTAGCTTATTACCTTTAATTTTCCTAATTATATAACTTTTCGTATTTGATAATAATTATGCAATCAATGAAGAATATAAAATTTATTTAATAAAAAAAATCTTATAGATTTCTATATCAAGATTAATATATAATTAATAGATATTTAGATTGTGAGATTATTAATAGACCACTAACATACTCCTATAATGTTCTTCAAGTTATCCATTTTGGTTCATCTTAATCTCAACGTTTGATTGAACTTGAATTGTGCAATATAAATCCCATAAGTAATTACTATGCACATCATTATACCTGAAATATTTAGCACACAAATTAGAATATCCAAGCATATGTTTGTTATCATTAAAATCTCTAATATAGGACATGAGGTAGATAATATCAACATTGGAACCCAAACAAGCTTGGGCATCATAATGTGATGAAATGAAGGTATTATGTTATACTATGCTCCAAAGATCTTCGGTCTCCAAATAAGTTGTGTGCTATGATAGATCCTATGTCGGTAAATTTGTGCTATGTATCCTACCATGGTACAAGAATAACAGTTGATTTGTGAAAATAAATGAGTTAATCTATGAACTGAATGAATCCTCTTCTTATGAGAACACAAAACATGTGGTGCTCTAATGAATTTTTTTTATGAGCAAATGTAGACCTAGATGCAATGGCTCTAAGAAGTATGCTCATTTTTTAAACCTGTAAACTTGTTGATTAAATATGAGTGCTCATCTATCAATGTAGTATGCTCATTTTTCAAATAAGTAAAGTTTCTTGTAAGCTTTTTATAACTAATATGCAAGTATTCCGAAAATGAAAGTAATTCTTCATAAGAATTCACATACGCAAAAATGAAAGTAATTCATCATAAGAGAATTCACATACCTAATCCTTGTCAGTATCAATTGTGTTGTCTTTCACCATTAAACATAGGATGGTGATTTTTTTTTCAGAGTTCAAGTTCACCCAGAAAGCTTTTTGAGGTTTTTTTTTTTCTTATGCTTCCTTTTTTCTATAGCTTTCTCCTTTGATGATTGACTATTCAAATTATGGCACGTCGACATTATGTAACTTAGCTTTTTTACATTCAAAATAAATTAGGTTAGTAGTAAATTTATTAAACTTTTTACCTTTGTTCCTCGGCTTGTTATTATGCATTCTCTACTTTTTCCTCAAAAATCTTTTGGATTGTCTTGTCATTAACACTATATCGTTGCCTTGACTTGGTTCAAAATTGCTACTATCAGAATTATCATCTTTCAGCACTTTAATCTTTTATTTCTGGTCATCTGCATCTATCAATCTCTAGCTTAACTTCTTTTCATATGCTATCAAAGAACTAAGCAAATTATGAACAAAATTAGCAATTAAATTTGAAATCAATAGAATAAGCAGTTAAATCCTTAGATTTAAAAATTGCGGCCATTTTGGCATCCCAAGATTCAAGCAAGCTTCTCATAATTTTATTTTTTCCTTTTTTGCATTACTAATTTCCTTTCCTAATACATGCAAAGAGATAATAATTGTTGTGAAATGAGTGTACATGTTAGATACCAACTCATTAGGTTACCTGAGAAAAAAATCATAGTCATTAATTAAAATATTGAAATGTGATTGCTTAACATTGTTAGTACCTTCATAAGTAATATATAATCTATCCCAAATTTCTTTGTTGCTTGTATATGTAGAGATATGAATTTAATCTTCAAATTTTAATAAATGTAAAAAGAAGTTTAAATATATTGCATTCAATTGTGTTCAAAATTTTATTCATTAGAGAAAAGTTTGACTTTTATATCATTTTTTATTTTATGTGGTAGTGTATATCCTACTTGTGCTAGATTCCACATTCTATAATCAATGGATTGAATAAAAGTTGATATATAAATTTCTTAAAAATCAAAGGGAATATTGTCGGGTAATGGTGTTTATATATATATATTAAAAACCAAATCTGATTTATGAAGATATACTCTTTTGAATTTCAAACTAGATCTCCAACAATTTTTCACACTAGTTCATATATTCAAATATATTGTAGGAAATAAATTGGAGGAAAATAAAAGTAAAGTAAGATATATAGAAATCAAATTTATATTGGTTCGATCACTTGATCTACATCCGTTCTTTGAAACTCTACTTTAGAATTTCACTACCACTCTCTTACTCCTAGTAAGGCAGAGAAGCCTCTCTCCTTCACAGAAAATGGAGGACACCCTTAACACTTCATTTCTCCATAAATTTCTCTTCTTCACAGGTAATGATAACACCCAAACCTTTTCTCTCCTTGAGAAGTTGCTTGTCCTTAGCCTCCCGCTAGATCTAGAAAGCCCGGTCTAAGTCTCAACACCAAGATATCCCAAAGCCCTTCTCCAAGTGCTTTCACAATCAAAAGCAGTGGATTTAAGGATTAGTTTTGGACTAGACAACCACAATGAATCCCATACCTCGCATTTTTGGTTCCTCCTGAAAGATCTCACATGGCTCTCCAATCTCTTTTCCAAAACCCTTGGAACACCAAAGCTTTCAAAAGCTCTTAAAGAAACTCAACAGGACCAACACAACTCTTTAGTGGTTTTTATGATAAATTTATAAGAATGCTCCCAAAAAAGCATTAAAATAGTATATTTAATAATTTTGACAGGTTGATAGTATAGTACGGTTCGTGGACCGTACAATACAGTTAGTTCAATTTATCCTAAAACACTAATTTGCTTTGTGTTTGATTGGACTGTACTATATAAATAGTACAATACAATCAGATCAAGTTCATCCAGATATGCTTTCTGATTCTGTGTTTAATCAGCTCCTCTTTCTGATTGTCTCTTCTACAGTATTCACTTGTTGATGTTATATTTTAATGGAATAGTAGGAAGAGAATGAAGCTTATCAGGATATTTTGTTTTGTATTTTTTGTTGAATATAATCATGACAAGGGCGTGACAGAACTTGGTGTTATTACCAATTAAATTATTTGCCGGAGCTTTATGTTCTCATTCAATCGTTACCAGTCCATTAATAATGGACATATCATGGTCTAATGCTTGATTTTTAACCAACATATACTGATGTAGTTCCTTTGTTGCTATTTTCTTTGACCAAAACTAACACCTCGTGTAGCATTATGTAGAAATAAATGGAAAAGGATTTATTAACTCAACCCAAATGAAAGGCATATAGCTAATGATGGCGATGATGATGATGATGATGATGATGATATCAATTTTTTAAATTAGCTGATTTCGTCGACTTGAGAATAAATATAATATTCTTTTATTCATTCTCCATAGGTGATTGTGGAGAAAGTGCAGAGAAGTGACATCCAATGTGTTGACAAGCGCAAGTAAGTTCTGCTGCATTACAGCATCATGTAAATTTATCTCATGTTTGTCTTGTAACCAAGATAGATTAAAATCATATTCCTTTGCTTGGAATGAAATTGTTAATAGATTGATTGTGATAACTTTTATTTTTAATTTCTAATTTTTATTTTGTTTTCTTTATTTTTGACATGAAGTGAAACTTGCTTGATTAAAAATATTTTTATTTTTAAGAGCATAAGTCAAGATTTTAAGATTTAGGTTGTTCATGAGTAAACTAATATTATGCGGGAAAAAATGGCTAGTGATTTAAAAATGTTGCAAAGTATGTACTTAAAGTGTTAGAAGAAAAGGCTCCTAATAGTTAAATAGTTAGTAGTGGAATCAAAATATGCAAGATAAGATAAAAAATAAAATGTTTTATTATAAATATTAGTTTAGATGTATAAAATTTGAAAATTGAGAAAGTTATGTGGGGCCCATAGATAGTCTTGGAAATCTATATGCGATGCAAAAAAATTGAGCTATTAGTGATTTACATAATAAATTAGATACTAAGGAAGGCAAAAAAGATATGTATAAGTTAGCCTAACAAAGAGATATGAGTAAGGATCTCGTTTTAGTGAAGTGTATTAATGATAAATATCTAATAGTACTTTTCTCATAAGAGAATATCCAACATAGGTGGATGCAATATTTCAATAGGCTTTTCAATAAAAAATTATAAGAATATGATTGACTTTAGTGACGTTAAACCCTAAATAAAAATAGAGATTTTTAATTTTATCATCATATTAGAAATACTTTAAAGAAAATCAAACAGTGAGACCTGATGCTATTTTAATAGAGGTGTGGGAATTCTTAGGATATCAAAGAATTTTCGTGCTTACTAAAATTTTTTAATATTATTTTGAAGACTAAATTAAAGCTAGATGGGTGGAGAATAAGTATGTTGGTTTTTATTTTTAAGAATAAAGATGATGCACAAGTGTGTACAAATTATAAAGAAATTAAGTTAATATGTCATACATTGCAAGTATGGGCGAGAATAATTAAGCGTAGGTTTCGACGTTATAAATGTTTCTCAAAATAAGTTTGGAATCATGTTGGACAGGTCTATTATGGAAGCTATGTAGTTGTTGAGAGGTTCGATGAAGAAATATAGAGAGAGTAAGGAGGATCTATATATGATATTTATTAATTTTGATAAAACATAATGATTAAGTTTCAAGAGAAGTGCTCTGAAGAGATTTAGAAAAGAAATAAGTTAATAATGCTGATATTTAAGTCATTAAGAATACGTATAAAGAAGCTATTACTTGTGTTCAACACAAGGTGGTTTGACTAAGAATTTAATGGACCGACCAATTTTATTGGGAGGGAATTCAGAAATTTTCTAAACAAGATGGAACTTTCTAGAAAGGTTCTTAATTAGAAGGGATTGATTAGAAGAAGTTTCCTAATTGAAGTTGCAGATTTTTGGATTAATTAGGAAATGTTTCATAATTAAAGATGGCAGATTTGTGTGATGATTTGAGGGTTGATTTGGGAGGAAAATAATTAAGGAAATATGGAAGATTTGGGAGGGAATTGGGGGAGGGCTATTTGGAAATTTGTTGTTTATTGTTTGCTTTAAATAGTTGATTTATCTTAGGGTTAGGATTATGTTTTTGTATTTAGAATTTAGTGAGGTTTTGTTGTTCAAAGTTTTTCTAATTAAATAAGGAAAATTTCGGGTTTGATTTGAGGGTTGTTTTGGGAGGGAATTGGAGGAGGGTTGTTTTGGTTTTCGTTCTTTATTGTTTGCTTTAAGTAGTTGATTTACCCTAGGGTTAGGTTTATATTTTTATATGCTGAATTTTATGAGTGTTGCCTGCTCACTGTTTTTGTGAGGGATTCTAGCGGCGTTTAGGATTTGGATGAAAAGGTCCTTAGGAAAGAGGACCATTGTATCTTGTTTGTTGGTATTTCCTTTCTCATCAATAAAATCTATTAGTTTTGCTGAATTTTACCATTTGTTTATTTATTTTTGGTGCTCAAGTCCTATTAAATTAGTATCAGAGCAATTTTTTTGGACTAATGGATGGGAAAAGAGTTGAGACGTTGGTAGAAAGCTGGAGGGGGAAATAGGGTAGCTGTGAACAGATGTGAGATTGTTGAATGAGCGCTTTTTAGCGATGAAAGGAATACCTTCTTACCTGGAGGACATGATGAAGAAAATATTGGAGCTTCACACTCAATCGACAACATCAGAGATAAGGCACCATTGACCGAACAAGGAAGTGGGGGAAACTCTAATATAGGGACAATGAGGAAGGATGGTGATGTGAAAATTTTGGGGGAAGAAGAGAAAGATGCAACCTTTGGAGACATTTCGAGGAGTGGAAAGGGTGAAGGAGTTGGATTTTTTATGGAGCAGCAAGTTTGGAAGGAGAAGATAAAAGCATCAAACATGATTCAACCATTCCTATAGCAATATCGAGAGATATTCCAGCCAGTTCGGGGGTTGCCTCATATTCAGGAAAACGAGCATGCTATCATTTTGAAGGAAGGAGTTTCACATATCAGTGTTTATCGTTATCATTCTTTCCAACTCCCGAATGATGAGATCGAGGGATTAATCAGGGAGATGCTAGAGGCAGGGATCATTCGACACAATGATTGTCCATTTTTCTGTCCAGTGCTTCAAGAACAGCTTCATTCCGCCTTAAGGACAAGGTGGCACTTGGGAAGGGGAGTAATGATGGACTGGCCATTCTGATTGGGAGTGAATTACGAAGTTTCCTAATAAATTAAGAGCTTTTTAGGAAGGTTGTTAATTAAAGGAGATTAATAGGAGATATTTTTTAATTGAAGATGACATATTTGGGGGCTGATTTGAAGTGGGGTTAATTAGGAAATGTTTTCTTCTTAAAGAGGACAAATTTGGGGGCTGATTTGGAGGAGATTAGCTACGAAAATTTTCTAATTTAAGAGGGTAGATTTGGGGACTGGTTTATGGGGTTATTTGGGGGAGGACTATTTGGGTATTTGTTGTTTATTGTTTGCTTTAAGTAGTTGATTTACCCTAGGGTTAGGGTTATGTTTTTGTAAGCAAAATTTTTTGAGTGTTGGTTGTTCACTGTTTTTGTAAGGGATTCTAGCTGCTTCTAGGATTTGGGAGAGATCCTCCTCTCGAAAGATGACCATTATATCTTGCTTGTTCATATTTCTTTTCTTATCAATAAAATCTACTGGTTTTGCTGAATTTTTACCATTTGTTCACTAATTTTTGGTTCTCGTACTATCAATATTTTCCCATTTTAGTTCGATTACATTAAAGATCATCTTTAAGCTCATATTTTTCTTCTTTAGTCATGGATGTTCTTACTTGTTGCAAGAGGATGTACCATAGTATATGTTTTTTACGGATGATATTCTTCTTGATGATAAGACTTGAGAGGGAGTTGAAGGAAATTTTGAAATTTTGAATTATGATGGTCAACCTTTGAGTCTAATTGTTTTTGAATGAGTAGATCTATAATGGAATGCATGGAGTGTAATTCTAATAGTAATAGATATAGTGATGGAATTGTGAGTAGGGACAATCATGTCATTAAAAAGAGCACACATTTTACGTATCTCAATTCTATTGTTCAGAGCTATGCTGAAATAGATGAGAATGTAATAAGTAGAATTCACAATGGTTGAATGAAAGGAATGCATCGGGACTGTTGTGTAATAGAAAAGTGCTCCTCGAACTTAAGGGAAAATTCTATAAGATGGTGAGACTGCAATGTTTTATGGCATAGAATACTGTCCATTAAAAGAGAAGCATGAAATTATGTTAAGAGCTGCATAGATGAGGATGCTCAAGTGGATGAGTGACTTTAAACTTAGAGGCAAAATATGAAACAAGTATATATGTGAAGGGTTGAAGTAGTTTTAGTGACAAATAATATTAGAGAGAATCACCTTAGATGGATTGTTGTTGTTGTTATTATTGTTGATGATTAAATATGTTGATTTAGGTAGTGTTGGCTATGGTTAAGGGAGATCCCGGTGTGGTAACACTGGTGACTAATCAGACAATGACAACAACGATGATGCTTGCGGCTGTGGTTATAGTTATTTTCAAAAATATTTAGAACATTTCAAAATTATTTTGAATACTTTTAATAAAATAATTGGATTTATTTTAAATTAGATATAAATATAATCATACTAAACATATATGATTTTAAATAAACAAAATAAAATATTAAAAACAAAATAGTTCCCGAACTGATCGTCAACTACTCTATTGTCTATATACCATGGAAGACAAGAAAATTTGCTGATTCGTAAATTGTGATGTGGAATCTGCTTAATATATATTATTGGATCCCGAGTGCAGATACTTAGTTCCACGTGACTTGACTGTGGGGCAGTTTGCAGCTGTTATCCGCAAGAGAATATGTTTACCCTCGGAGAAGGCCATGTTTCTGTTTGTGGACAATATTCTTCCAGCCACAGGTACTTAAATGAAAATATGTAGACTTCCATATGTTAGTTTCTTACAAGCTATTTAGAAAAAGAACTATGATGAAGTCGAGGGTTTCCCAGATCCCTATGCTTACTGAATTAACATCTTCTTCATCATTAAAGGATAAATGAATTCTAATGCTTTCGGTGCTAATTTTTTGTTGCAGGAGCTTTGATGTCCGAGCTTTACAATGAGAAGAAAGACGAAGATGGTTTCCTCTACGTTGTCTACAGTGCGGAGAACACGTTCGGTAGACACCACCAACTATGTGGTGCTTCTCTAATTTAGGTCTCCTTTGGGACGACTTTTTTACTGCTTCTTAAAGCGGTTTTTGTGTATAAAAATTTTAATTTTTGCACTAAAAAACATCTTTAAGAAGCAATAAAAAAACCATCCCAAACGAAGTCTTAGTTCAGCATTTTAGTTAGCTTCTCTTGAAGCAATTTGTTTATCAAGCAACTTCGCATTGCTTGTATTCATATTTCATACTGTTTCATAGAGTAGCCGAGTAAAAAATGGAATTGTACACTGTAAATAAAGTTTTGACGTAGGGTGTTCGGGACTTGGATCATGTTGCAACGAGTCGTTGAATCTTTCCTTCCACTGTTAATAGTACCTGTGTCATGAAGAATTTACAAATTTGGACTTATCCTTTATAAAATTTACATAATTATTAGACTCGTTAAATGGCATCTGTGTTAGACGAGTAAAAATAAAAGCATCTTGTTTTGAGGTCCTGTAGTACCTATGGTTAAGTACAGCATGTAAAGTGAAACAAGAACTTAATCTATCCTGTAGGAGAAAGACTTATTTTGACCTTGAAAACCTTCATCCATTGTTGCACGAGATCATGTCTTTTTCCAATGAAAGCTGCTTCACTTTTTCCGACGAAGCTACTTCACTTTATGTAAAATGCATATCAAACTATGTACAATTCAATATAGGAATTCATGCAATAAAATATTTAATCGATAAAGATGAGGATTTTTTTTTTGAAAAAAAAAAATTTTTTTTTGGAAAAAAAAAAAAAAAAAAACTACGCCTTTCCTGAATAGGGCGTAACGTATATATTTCATATAAAATTTGTTATAAAATTATGTCCCATGTGCCTATGTTACTGAGTAAATTTGTAATCACATGTTCATGTTATAGATGCATGTGGTTAGGTGCGGGAAAGTGATAATACAATGTGGGAAATGAAATAGTTCATGTTCTTCTTTGGAATTGAAATGGATAGGAAGCTGTAAAAAAATATTTCTTTAGAAAAATATAAATATATTTATTTTAATGATATTATTAGAATCAAATATATTCATGGATGATATTATCCTTTATGAGCAAGCGAAAGAAACATGAAACTCTGGTTGACTATGAAGAGAAATAAGAAGACAGAAAATATAGAAAGAATGCTAAGAAAAATCAAATGGAAAAATACTCTATTAGTTCAATAAAGCTTCCAGAGATTTAAAAAATGTTCAAAATATATCTCTTCATCATTTATTATAGGAATTCTGGAGCTATAGGGTAAGCTAAAAAAAAAAGTTAAAATGTACAAAAATAATTGCGATTTAATTAAAATTATTCAGGATACGTCCCATGAACTGATGGATGTTTGGCATGATTCTTCTCCTTTGGCCCAACTTTCAATATTGGGAGAGCTCCCTCTATTGAGTGTTCATGGGTGAGTAGATAAAGGCAAGTCCTCGGAATGGGTTTAGATGAGTGAGTCTATGACGATGAGTCATTAAGCTACATTGATGACCTTAGTTGAGCTTCTCGAGTCATTGCAATGTTAAGGATGAGTCCACCTGAGTTATGCTAGTTATAAACTCAAAGATGTATGGCCATGAGAAAAAGTATTCATATCTTCCATATGGTGAACCTTCCCTGTGACTGGACCGATGAAAACCATCACTAGTTTGCTAACAGGAGTGATGGAGAGTTGCACTGAGAGGGTTACACAGACTATACATATAGGGCTATTTTCAACTACTTATTTATACTTACACACTTCTCAATTTTACATGGAAGTTTAATTTTTTAGGGTGTAAGTCTTGCTTTAACGCAAGTGCACATATCATACCAAGTATTATAATGATGAAAAAGAGTGTTGATCCCATGAGGACAAATTAAAAATATCCAAAGTTCATTTTACTACTACCTATTGAACTATTAAATTTATTTATCAAAATGATTTAAATAGGGTTTGCAGATAAAAAGCAAAGAGCTTCAAAATGCAGGAAAAAAATTTACTAATTTAAGAAATTTTGTCCAAAAAATTTCAAAAGAACATGATTGCTTTAAAGCGGTTTACTACCTATTGTTGTTATGGATTAGAGAAATAGTGCTCCTCGTCTCTATAGAGCTCATAGGTGGCTTAGTTAGGATCCCAACCAATTACAGTTCTTTTATCTTCTTAAGGCCCCATAACCCTAACCACCATTTGTCAATGTTATAAATCTATAAGTATCATTCTATTTCTCCGTCGAGACTCTAGATCAAACAAAGTTTTTAATTTATATAAGGCTTAATAAATAAATCAATAGAAGCACATAGAAGTTAAAAATAACATGGATTTATTAAAAACTAAGCCTACTCTAAGCAATACAAGAACACAAGCTACACTATCCCTAGATAACCCACACACTTACATACACTCATAGAAAATGACTCCAAAATGGGCCAACCTCTCTACAAGAAGTCTAAGGCTACTATTTATAATTTTATAAATTTGTTGGCTTACTGGCAGTACGGTGTTGCAAAACGGCACGTCGGTTCACCAATATCTTCTTTGGTTCACTAGTCCAACTGACTCTCGCTGTGGCATTGGGTGATTTGGCACTGCAGTCCCATAATCAGGTGTTGCGATGCTAACTAGATAGTACTTTGGAGATAAATTATCTAGCAAAATTTTGGTAAACTCTCTACTATAGCGTTAAAGGTGTGGCATTGTAGTGCTGGCCCAATTTTCAAGAATTGTTGACTATTTTTCTAATCAAAATACAAACATTTCAAGCACACAATAACATAAAAATGTAATTTGGAATGATACAATTTTATCTAATCAAATTTCCGTTAAGTTTAAGATATTACTTATCCTCATTAATGCTGCAATAGGATAAAAATAATTTATCTTTTGCTTTGAGTATGATTTTTGGGAAAAGAAAAAAAAACTAATGATCTAAATATTTAAATTGTATGTAAGTTTGAAGATTTTTCAACAAAATAATTTATAAGATTCTAATCCTTCATTTTTAATTAATATTCTTTTTAAACCAAATTCATCTAGGTAAACAATTTTGAAAAACTTATTTGAGTTTACTGGAATTTTTCAGAATTAAGGAAATTACTTGTTTAGTTAGTCCTTAAATCAACCTAGAAACTTTCTTCAAGTATTATGATTCCAATAAATTTCTTAGATGTATAACGGTAGGGCTATATTACTGGTACCAATTTTTGATATTCAGATATTTAGTAATTGATTTTTTTTTTTTATGTTTCTTTTATTCTATTTTTATTGGGCTAAGCACCTTGTAATGATTTTTAATACTTGTCTATTTCCTCTACTTATTATTTTTAAGCGGGTCTAGATATTGCAGGCACCAATTTTTGATATTCAGTTACTTTAGCCTCTTTTTTAAAAAAATTTTACTCTTTTTTATTTTCTAAATATCTTATTTAGATTTTGTATACCTGTTTATTACCACGACGTAATATACAAATCTAAAGTTTGTTAGAGGTTTCATATATCCCTACTTAAATGCTTTTTAGGTGACTTTGAATTAATTTAACAAACTAATTTATATTAATCCTAAAGTTTTTTTTAATAAGTAATCAAGTGCTTAAGTAAATTTTAGGAATTTAATTTATCTAAAATTACTTATTTTAAATGATAAGATTAATTTCTATTTATTAACTATTTATTATGGAAATCTTGCAAGTTGTCTACTATTAAATACCTAAGAATCTTAATTTTATATTTTTAAAAAAATCATAACTCAAACAAAAATTGCAATAATAAGGCAAGTAATAAATCAAAATTTAGAGAAACTTTATTTCATTATTTTGTTTTCCAAATTACAATTTTTTTTGTAATAAGAAAATAAAAATGCTAGATATTAGCAAAAATGCTACAAAAGCAACAAAAAACAATAAATTACAAAAAATGATAATAAAGAGAAAAATAGAACAATAAGTAAACATAAGCAACTTAAAAATAAATACTACACAAATAAATAGAATTTAAAATTTATGAGGCCAACAATAAGGCCATCACTTGTACCCGTCTATGTTTCCTTCTTCTTCTTGTTCTTCTTTTGATGCTATTGTCAAGGGTACTGCCGAGGTTCCTGCTCCTGGATACAATGCAAAGGGGGGTGGGCTAGGGAAGAAGTTCCATGAATTGTGGGAGTCCATGTCCGAGCTCCTAAACAAACTTATCAGGGTGCATTATTGTTATCCTTATATTGATATTATTATTAGTGTTAGAGCATCAAGGGGTCATAATGGATGTACATCCCTTATTCAAACCCAATTAGTTATTACCCGAGGTGATTAATAGATACCCAAATTCAATCAAGTCTATCTTAAACATCCATCACTTGATCTCTTGTGTCCTAGGATCTCTTCCCTATTGTTGCATGGGTTGGGGTGAATGGCTAGATCCCTCACCGTGCTCTAACATGGTGATTTTGAAGGACAATGTCTTATTTTATCTAGTTACGATAGAAGTAGGCATAATCTGACCCTCACCTGAGTTTCCTATTACCCTGGCTAACTAGATAGTTCACAAATTAAGCTGGGATGTCCTAGATTGACAAAAGTTGACCCCTAAGTGTATATTAGATAGATAAAACAATTTTCCCAAAGTTTACAGTCATATCTTTAAGAACATAATACTTTAAAATAACCAAATCTTTGGTTATCTCACTAATATTTTTTCTTGGCATTAACTTCATAGAAATGATGTAATTTCATCCCTTAGATTCTTGGGTGAGGGTAGAAGAAAAAAATAACAATTATTTTATCTTCTCTCCTCTTATATTGGACATTCAAATCCCTTTATCTCCTTAAAGTCTATGATAGTGGTGCAAAAATTTTAAAACTCATCTCCATCAAATTAGAAGTTAGGGGTTTGGAAATCTTAATCAAACCATAGGATTTTCTATGGTCAATAAAAACACCAATCACACAACTTCTTGATAACAAAAAATAGGATAAATTATGTTGCCCTCCAAGCATTACAACTTTATAGTCTTCAGTCACACCGAGCTAGAATTTTACTCAAGATGATGTAGCTCTAAAATGCTTCTAAAGCGATGAACATCTTTCCTTAAATAAAGTATCAAACTATCACTGTTAACTTTGAAGATTTGATTAATGGGTAAATTTTAAATTACAATGAATGGTCCTGACCACTTGGACTTCAATTTTCCTAAAAAAAGTTTAATCTTGAATTACACAACTTCTTATGCAAGCTCAAATTCCTTCTTAATAAGCTATGATCATACCACTTCTTAATTTGATCTTTATTCATCTTCGTATTCTCATAAACTTTAGGCTCATAATGCCTTATACTCTAATTTTAAAGGTAAATGGTAGACTTTTTTATAGACCAGTCTATAAGCTCACATTCCTGTACGTGTCTTAAAAGAAATCCTATAAGCTTAAAGTTCATCATCTAATTT